CAGCTGACAATCTCACAGCTGTCCAACGTAACCAACTACATGTCCAATGTTTACTTCTTCAAAAGGTACCTCAGTGGAAAAGGCATTTTTGGTGTCTCTGGGACGTTAGGGGGCCATGCTGAGAAGGCCTTCCTGGAACGGCAGTATAAGACAGCATGTTATGCCATTCCAGCCCACCGCCATAAGAAGCTGGTGGAGCTGCCAGCTGTTCAGGTGAGAGGAGGGAATCCTGCCTGGATGCAGGCCATCTGTGAAGCTGCATGGAGGGCTGCAGACAGGGGGCAGGTTGTCCTGATCATCTGTGAGGACGTCAAGACTGCAGACCAGCTGAGGGCTGAAATACAGGGCCCAGGGAGGAAACTCAGGCAGATCACGATGTACACCATCAGCGCCAAGCACAACATCGAGAAACAGACCTTCAGCCAGGGACACATTATCATAGCCACAAACCTGGGAGGCCGCGGCACTGACGTGCACGTGGACCCGGAAGTAAATGAGCTGGGAGGACTCTTTGTGCTTCTTACCTACTTGCCGGGGAGTCATCGTGTGGAGAAGCAGGTCTTTGGGCGCACAGCCCGGAAAGGAAACCCAGGAATGGTGCAGATGGTCCTCAACCAGGACCATCTAGCAACAGTCTATCAAGGCCATTCAGTGGAAACCATGAGGCAGGTCAGAGAGGGGTTCGAGGTCAGCCGCTTGGACAGCATGGAGAGAAACGAGCTGTTCCAAATTGAAACTAAGGAAGAGCTGTTCTCCACATTTTGCCAATTTCTTCGTGACTTTGACAAGAATTATACTCAGGAAGAGAGAAGCGACATTTCAGAAAGGAAGCTGAAGGATGTCCCAGCTTGTTTTAAGGTCTATTGCAAAAAGTTGGACTACCAGGCTGCCCTCAAGGCTTTGAAAGAGTCCTGGGCTCTGTGGCTTATCCTTCATGAAGAGCACATCAGCCAACGTCAGGTAAAAACACTGAGGGATGAACTCCTGAGAGATCTGAAGAAGACTGCTGAACAGCTCCTGCAGGGGAGAAGCAGCAGTTTCTATGACTACATTGAAGTGGCCAAAAGCAGAACCGACATGCACCGACTCAACAAAGAGGAGAGTGACTATGGAGCTTTATCTTACTGGCAGAG